GCAGCAGGTGGAGTTTGAAACAACAGTTGAACTAGATAGTGTCCACGAGACAGAAAGTGATTCTGAGGTGACTAATGTGGATATTATAGATGAAAAGGAGATTTTACCCCAAGAATCTCATCAGCAACAGGAATCGATTGCATACAATAGGCCAAGACGAGAAATTCGCAAGCCTGCTCGTTTCGCTAATATGGTGGCTTATGCACTTTCAATTGTAGGTGATGATATTCCTACTACTTATAAAGAAGTAGTTAGGAGTTCAAATTGTGAATTATGGAAACCAGCCATGAATGATGAAATGCGATCCCTACATAAGAAAGCGATTGGGTGCAAATAGGTGTATGCAAAGAAGAAGGGATTTCCTAATAGAGAAGATGTTCGACACAAGGTTAAGTTGGTAGTAAAGGGATACGCTCAAATGGAAGGATTTGATTACAGTGAAGTGTTTTCTCTTGTGGTAAAGTATTCTTCCATTCTAATTTTGCTAACCTTGGTGGTACAGTTTGATTTTGAACTAGTTCAATTGGATGTGAAAATCGTGCTTTCACATGGTAGTTTGGAAGAGGAAATCTACAAGACTCAACCAGATGATTATAGGGTTGCTGGAAAGAAAAATTGGGTTTGCAGATTGAAGAAATCGCTGTATAGTTTGAAGCAGTCACCAAGACAGTGGTACAAGCGATTTGATCAATGTATGATGGGCCATGGGTACACAAGGCCTGATATTTCACAAGCATTTAGTATGGTGAGCAGGCATATGCACGATCCTGGTAAAGGGCATTTGCAAGTTGTGAAATGGTTTCTACAGTATATGTACTATAGATATTGGTTTAGTTTTTGTGTGGGATTATATTGAGAATGGGAAAATGACTATCCAGAAGATTGGAACAGAAGATAATCCTACAGACATGTTGACTTCAGTAGTGACAAGGGTCAAGTTCATTTATTATTTGAACTTGATCAACATCCTACGAGCTTGACTGTGCCTTTTGGTGCATTTGAAGGTGTTGCAAAATTTGGCAGAAGAATACAAAACTTTGAAGATGTGCTAATTCGCCAAGGTGGAGATTTGTTGAAAAATGGCTTTTAGCAAAATCACATTGGGTAGAAGTGATAATGGAGAAAGGTTTAGGGACTTATATGTAATAGGCCAAAATGAGTTGGTTTGTCCCACATTGAAAAGGAATGAAAAGTAGGAAACTTTTGGGGCCTATATATAAGGACCTAAATCAATGTTATTTGTATCCCAAGTTGTAATTCCATTAGACTTCTTTTGTTTAGGGTTCTTTCTTTAAGGACCCTTTAGTTTGCAAGTTTTGTTGTATCTCCCCTCTGTTTTGGGTATTTGTTGTATTGCCCAAAAGTTTGTAATATTGTTCGGAGATAGTGGAGTTTTCTTTCATAGCGTCCGAGGACGTAGGTTTCAATACCGAACCTCGTTAATTCCTGGTATTCTTTATTTTTGCATTTAATTTTGGCAATTTATTTATGCTTTACTACTTGTAATAATAAAATAAAAAAGCTAGCGTTAGAGTTTATGTTTCCGTTGCATAACACTCTTAAGCCTGCGTCCACTGTTCTTTGTATTTGCTGTGTGAGCTTACAGTAGTAATTCAAGGAGTATTTTCCAACCCTTTCCTCATCGTTTGAGGGGGTTTATATACAAAGTTTGTACAAAGGAAAGAGTGAAATTAAAGGGATTACAATTAACTTGAAATGCGACTCCGATATTCTCGTGATTGGGTGCTGTGATTGCGCAAGGATTGTTGTCAATCTGATCATTCCTGAGATATCTGAGATTTGAAGTTATCTGGGAACTGATTAAATGATCACTCGGATTGTTCGCGACTAGCTTGTGCTAGGTTGAGCTATATCTCGACAAGTTTATGCTGGGTTGGACAATCAGTAGAGTCGGACTGATTCTGGGTCGAGCTATTACCTCTCAACTCCTCGAGCTTGATGGAAAATCACACACAACACCACCCCTAATGCCATTTGAAAATGCATCATTAACACCCCGAATGCTAACTCCTTCTGTTGGTGTTTAAAGGGCAAGAATGCCATTTAACACTTTGACTTACATAAAACGTAGTTATTGTCAAACCCCTAACTATCACTTTCTCTTTGTCCTAGCCCCAACAAATTCAAGTCAAACCCATAACTTCCAGTTTCTCTCACTACAACCCCCATCCGCACCTTCTCCTCCTAATGATGCATCTCCTCTTTTAACAAAAACACAAACCACCCATCTCCTCCACTAACGCAGGCACAACCACCCATCACCTCCATCAACAAAAACACACATTCATAAACACAACTAATAGATACATTAACAAATTATTAAAATGACAAGCAAGGCCAAAAATCGCGACCTTGCCTAATGCCAATTGTGACGACCTAGGTTGTTTTAAGGCTCTTTGAGCTGTAGACCAAGATTTCTCACAGATAATGAACATTAGAAAATTACTCAAGAGAAAATTCATTCTATTGTATTTTTTTGCTATCTTGATAAAGATGAGCTACAATGCTTTATTTATAAATTGAAAACAGAATTATCTAGGTGATGAGTCATATAACCATATCCTTTGAATTATGGCTTTAACACACATGGTGAGGCAAGGTGTGAGCTAGTGTTGTACTGGGAATAAAAAGTTTGTTGTTGCTTAGTCAATCACCTGGGTGAGGGATATTTGAATAACTTTGCAAACGGTAAACATTATTTGAAATTTCCTTTGCTAACACACCTCCTTCAAGCGACATGGACTTTCAAGAACGTTAAGCTTTTCTTTGAAGAAGTTGAAAGATTCTGTTGTGGAGGTTTTTGTCATAATCAGTAATATATTCCTTCGAAGGAACATATCTAATTTCTGAGTTTCTGTTAGCAACCGAATCTCTGATGAAGTGAACATCAAACTCAATGTGTTTGGTTCTTCCATGGAGTATAGGATTCAAGGTTAGAGAAACTGCTTCTTGGTTGTCGCACCACATGATTGGCTTTTGAATAAGGTTCAATTGAAGTTCACTGAATAAAGAATCAATCTAGGAGATTTCAGAGAATGTTTGAGCAAGGGATCTATATTCACTTTCTATGCTAGACCTTGCAACAGCCCTTTGCTTTTTTGAACTCCATGAAATTAATTTTCCTACTAGAGATATGCAATATCCCCCAGCTGATTTTATATATCATCAATGTCGGATGCCTAGTTTGCATCAAAGAAACTTATTAGGTCAAGTCTCCCTTGATTAGTGAACTTCAAGCCATGGTTGATTGTTCTTTATAAGTACCTAAGGATGCTTTTGCAACTTTGCCAATAGAGCTCTGTTGGTTCATGCATGAACTGACTTTGTTTACTAACAACAAATTAGTTTATTCTCAGCAAATGTGATGTTTGGTCTTGTGTTTGGACCATGTTGCAATGCTACCAAGATACTCCTAGGGAGTGTTCCGTTTTAGAATGTGCTACTCCCTTCTTTATAAGTCCTGAGCCTGTAACCATAAGAGTAGGGGTTGGTTCACAATTGGCATGTTGGCTCTTTTCAGAATATCAAGAATGTACTTGGATTGAGACACATAAAGAATGTTTTTATCTCCACAAATTTCCATGCCAAGGAAATATTAGACATTTCCAAGACCTTTCAGGAAAAATTCTTTGCTTAACTTGTCAATAGCTTGAGAGATTTTTTTATTAGCAACATCATCTAACCAAGATGTCTTCAACATACATAAGGAGAATAATGAGATGATTTTGTTTACGTAGGACAAACATAGATGAATCTGATCTTGAGTTATCAAAGCCCCAATTGAGTAAACATTTCGTAGTCTCTGAAACCAAACTCTATAGGCCTCTTTCAATCCATAGAAGGCTTTTCTAGTTTGCACACATGGTTTGGGTGTTGTTATCTTGAAATCCATCTGGTTTGTTCCATGTGTATTGTTTCAGCTAGAATGCCATTTAAGAAGGCATTATCCACGTCTACTTGCATCACCACCCAACCATTTAACATAACAAGGCTTAGTTGGTTGTGAATTTCACCACAAGACTGAAAGTTTCGAAAAAATCTACCTCTGCAGTTTGATAGAAACCCTTTCCAACTAATCTGGTCTTGTGCCTTGACACATTTCCATCCGGATTCTTGCCCCATTGCTCTCCTCCAATGAGAAGTTTGTAATGCTTTACCGACGTTTGTTGGTTTCTCAGTAAAGGATAAAGCTTTTGTCTGTAGAATTTGGTTTAAAAGTTATATATGCCCTTTACATATTAATTTTAGATCATTGTATGTCAAGTTTAGGACTTTTTTTTCTAGTTTTTAATAAATCTTTCCTTGATGATAGACCAAAATCCTAGGAAATGAAATGCAATTGTTCCCAAACATAGGGTGCAAAGTTATTTTACTATGTTTATCCCCGAAAGCTCACTATCGTCGTAGTTGAACTGAAACTCCAGGAACCAAGAATCATGCTTTCAAGTTTCCAAGTCTTCACTCTCGGCCATCGGTACTCCCATCTACTGTTTGGACTTATTAATCTATTCAACATATAAATATTCATTTATTCGATAAATCAGTTAGGTGTCATTTATTCGATAAATCAGTTAGGTGTTCAGTGCTCATCATTATTAATATTGTAGTACGAAAATAACTCAAACTACCAAGAAACGGAAAATTATCGTCTCTTCAGTTGTCTTTTGATGATTTTACTTGTAACTCACAACGGTTATCTGGGCTTGGAGAATTTGTTTAGTCTCATTTTAACATATATTCGCAAATTAATTTGCTCTTTTTAGCAGGACTTATGTTTCTGATCTAGACTTTGTTGTTATGGTTCGTGATATTAACCTATCCAATTGGCTGCGTAAAATACTGTTAGATTCTCATCAAATTTCAGTTAGAAAAGAAGTCTTGTTTCAGTATACTGCTTATATCTATGGTGGATTATAAATAAGTCGGGAGTTCTTCTAGGAAAATGATGAAATAAGGATAGAACTTATTTAGAACAGGCAGTTATTGCAACACAAGACAGACAAAAACTGTGAATTTGAAAAGGGTTAAACTCATTTAGAGTCTAGATGATCCCTTTGGATGATGTCTGACGATATGATTGTAGGCATCCAGAGTCAGAAAATCATCCAGTGTCGCTGCTTTGCATTGCCGAGTAAACATCTTACAAGCCTCCTTGTACATTCCCTTCCTGAACTTTTCTTTCCCCACCTCCCTCTCAATCCTCGCCATCTCTTCTTCCACAATTCTACCAAAGAGATCACGGCTCACTTTTACTCCAAGCCCGTCTCCATCCAATTCCGCTTCATATTTCAGCCATTGCCAGTTCTGAACTCTGCTAATCTCAGCAGTGGCTGCATCTTCCATGAGGTTATAAAGAGGTACTGATCCTGATCCAGTGAGCCATGCTGCCAAGTACTGGATTCCAACCCGGGTATTTAGGCGAAGACCTTCCAGGGTACGAACTCCTCTGGGCCTCTGTAAGAGGTCTTCTTCGGTTATATTCACTGCATCTTCTCGCTTCATGGTTTGTATCTGATTAGGGGCATTGCCCATGTTGTTGTTGAATAGTTCCATGCAGGCTGGGATCAGTCCAGGGTGCGCCGCCCACGTTCCATCGTGCCCTGCCCTCACCTCTCTTAGCTTGTCCTTCCGAACAAGATCCAATGCAGCCTCATTTGCCGCCGGATCATCTCTAATTGGAATCTGAGCTGCCTGTTAAAATTAAATGTTGGATCTTTGTAATAAGTAAGAATGAAAAACGATAGAATAAGTTAATAAGAAGAAGAACTCATTTACCATGCCGCCCATGGCGTGAACACCGCGCCTATGGCAAGTCCTGATGAGGAGATCGGAGTAACTTTTCATGAAGTGTTGAGCCATGCCAACCTGGACCCTGTCTGGTAGAAGACGATTTGGGTGACCTTGGAATGTCTTCACATAGCTGAAGATATAATCCCATCGTCCACAATTCAAACCAACAGAATGATCCCTAAGCTCATACAGGATTTCATCCATTTGGAAGACAGCCGGAAGAGTTTCGATCAGAACAGTGGCTCTGATGCTTCCTCTTTCTATTCCTGCCATCATCTCCGCCCTCTCAAATACAGAGTTCCATATTTTTGCTTCCCTGCCAATAGTATTGAACTTATTGACCAACAGAATATTTCAAAGCATGATGTGTAGGTGTTTGTGTTTAAGAGGGAAAAATTGAAATGGAAATTGTGTAGAACTAAGTCATGGCTTTGTTCTCAACCTCCTCAATTGTCACATTCTATTTTCAGAATAAAAATACAGGTAATGTTGAATATTAAAGAGTTTCTTTATCTTTATAGATTTTTGCTTGTGCTGTCAACTCTCTTACCTTGAATGTTCCATCTTAGGTAGATAGAAGAAAGGCCCAAATCCTTCACCCTGGTTTCGTCGGAAGGCTGCATAGTTGTGGTAAAAGTATAGGCCAAAGTCTACCAGGCAACCAGTTGCAGGCTCTCCGTCAATGAGGATGTGCGCCTCAGGCAGATGCCAACCTCGTGGGCGGACAAATAGCTTAGCCGTCCTATCATTGAGCTTGTAAACTCTGTTCCTGGCCTTGTCATGGAAGCTTATTGTCCCATCAACAGCATCCTTTAAATTCACTTGCCCACTAATAAGATTCTCCCAGCTGGGCGAGAGGGCATCTTCAAAATCAGCCTATGAAAAAACCAACAAAATCTTAGTTTTCGTTTCGTAGAAGATTAATAATGGCTTAATAAAAGAAGTAGAACTGACCATGAACACTTTAGCTCCAGAGTTGAGTGCATTGATGATCATCTTCCTCTCCACCGGGCCCGTAATTTCCACCCTCCGATCAGCAACAGCCTGTGGAACAGGCGCACATGTCCACTCCCCTTCCCTTATATACCTTGTTGCGGGATCAAACCCTGGCAACGCCCCTTCATTATACCTCCGTTTGGCCTCCTTGCGACACTCCATTGCATACTTGATGTGGTTTCTGAATTCTCTCTGCAAATCTGCAACAAACTGGAAAGCATCCTTGGTGAGAATTCTTGCAAACTCTTCACCGTATCGGCCTCTAATCTCCACTCCCTCAGGAACATCATTGTATGCATTCATGTTTTTTGCAATTGTTGCGGGGTAACCGTTTGAACCAAAGCCCATCATCTTGCGTCTTTTCTGATAAAACTATTCCTGTTGTATTGTACTTGAATAGGATAAGTGTAGGAACTTTAGAAATATAAAGAGAAAGAGCGGCAAGTGGATTGGTACAAAAAGCGTTATCGGAATGGGCTAAGTTTAGAGATTCTATGGCTTTATGTGCGTAACATGATAAACTGTGACTAAGTCCTTGGTACAGGACGGATAAAGAGGTGGCTTTGAAGCTTGTGCCTGCCTCGGGAAGTGCAGTTTCTTATGATACTATGGAACAAATGGTGCTATTGATGCGTGGCACTATTGGTTCGTCGATGTTACCAAGGTCATCATGTTCTAATTCATGAAGGCTTTGTGGAAGTGTGGGCTGAACCCATTGTAAGGGATGATATTTTGTACCTTACAGACACAAAGCCCAATCTTATTCCTGAGTTGTTGGCAGGTTATACGTAAGTGTACGAAATCATGTAAGTAATAAAACTCGAATAAACAAATGTCGAATCCCAAGAGAACTACTTATCAAGTACCAAACTAGTATATCTTATTTCTATTTGATGAAACAGAATTTTAAGAATGAATTTAATGAAAAAGAATATAAACTAAAAACTAAATAAAAGCAGAATTTTATAAATACTTTGGTAGAGAAATCAATATGACTAAATCTAGGGCACATATTTTACACTAATTTAATCTTATGCATTGACAATTATTGCTAACCTAATTAAGTTTATTCTAAAGGCCAAACTCCCTGATATTCCACTAACTTTCTCTCGAACAATTAGCGAATTAACCCTTAAACAACAACCTAAAATATCTCTAAGTTGGATTTAGAAGCTAAGAAATCATTAAGTTATATGGAATTTACTAGAGCCTCACAGATCACAGTAACATATCTCTAGTGTTCGCTCAATCTATGGTTTTATTACCTTAGACTAATCAGGTTTCATCTTCCGATCTCGACCCAACCCATGACATCATTCAACTCTCGGATCCTTAATAATTGAAAGCATTATGCACTATAATAAAACTTAGAATTAAATGCTCAATAAGAATTAACAACAAATTAAATCAATACATATTTATAAACTAGGCTACATCTTTAGACCTAGAAAAGATATTTAGTTCATAATTACAGTAATGAAAACAATCATTGTATTGAATAACATGAGTTCAAGAACGGAATATAAAAACACTTCTCTAATTTGTGAACAAGAATCGCAAGAATTCCTATCGCCAAAGTAGTGGCCGTCCTTTCTCCTTCTTCAAATCCCCCTTTTAACTTCTGAAAGACCCTCTTTTATATCCCTAGGGTTATGGTCGTGCTTAGGAAAAAGATTAGAAAACTTAGCCCATTCAGATTCGGATTAGGATAATGAATTAACACACACCCGTGACCCATCACCGCGGCGGTAAGAATGGTCACTGTGGCGATCATTCTTTCTATCTAAGGCATCCATAATCTTCAGAATTTGATAAAGTCATCAACACAAACATTGTAGCTCTCTGAATAATCTTTCCAACGCCACTAGAATCGTCGAATTCCGACTTCTACAACTCAAGTCATGACAGAAACATCGAAGCATGCTCATGATAAAGGATTTCCAGATTTTACGTAACGTCTTCGACGCACCACAACTTTCTCGTTTCGACTATGATTCATGTGCCGTTTGTTCTCACGCGTTCTGAGTCCCATCGACATCATCTTTTCCCTTCAAAAATCTGTTTGAGCCTGAAAACACTCAAAATGCACTCGTGATCCCATAAATGGTATTTATGAAAGAATTAATCCAAATTCCACACTTTAAATACATTTTTCCATAAATAAACCAATTAAATCACTAACAAAATATCAACATTCAAGCTCTTATCAGTTACTGGTGTGGGCTTGAAACTTGAGGACGAACAATTGAATTTTGTACAAGGAAAACAATAACTTGAGTCACAAATAATTAATGTTATAAAAGTTGGTGACTGTTATGAATAAATGCGGATGTCTCTTGCAATTCTATAACTTCCTAATCTTTCATCTTCTCTAACTCTTAAACCTTTCAAGTTCTAAAACTTCAAAACATTTTATTAGCTTTTAATTTCATTTATAATATTTCATAATCTTGAGACTATAAATAGATGTATTATGAAAGATCATATACATTCAACTTTGGAATAAGAAAAGCATTGGTTCTATTTCTCCTCAATTATCTTTTCTCTTCTTATAGCTTATTTTATACGTTATCAGCACGAGTCTCTAACCATATCAACTTGTCAAAGAAAAAAAAAATTCTAATCAAGTTTCAACTTTTGTCTCTCATCAAGTTTGGAGTTGAAGTTTTCCATTTGCCAAGTAAGTAAATTCAATTTTGCTTGTATCTCAATATGCCTTATAAATATGTTGGAATGGTTAACCATTTTTATAGTATAAAATATATGAAAGTGTTTTAATTTGGAACGTTTTGATTTCATTACAAACAAAACATTGTATAGTTATAGATTTATAATTTGATTAATATGAAAACACATACATATATTTGTAAATATTTGCTTTTATGATTTGTGTTTTCAAATTATTAAATTCTCTATAATTGTAATAAATTGTATGTGCATTATTGTTATTCTAAACTCTTATTTGTAGTAATATTTTCATTTTATTAGAGATTGTCTAATTTATTAAATATTTCTTTTATAGTTTTCGTCATGACAAATCTTACGAAACTTGAATTTGTGGCTCTTGATATTACAGGCAAGAATTATTTGTCGTGGATTCTTGATGCTGAAATTCACTTAGATGTTATGGATCTTGGTGACACCATCAAAGAAGGAAATGAATCATCAAATCAAGATAAGGCTAAAGCCATGATTTTCCTTAGACATCATCTCTACGAAGGATTGAAAATTGAATACCTTAAAGTAAAAGATCCCCTTACTCCTTGGGAAAATTTGAAGGAAATGTATGACCACCAGAAAACTGTGATTCTTCCTAGAGCTCGTTATGATTGCATGCATTTACATTTACAAGATTTTAAATCAGTAATTGAATATAACTCTGCAGTATTCAGAATTAATTCTCAATTGAAATTGTGCGGAGAAAAGATTACTAATGAAGATATGTTAGAGAAAACATTCTCTACTTTTCATGCATCAAATGTGCTCCTACAGCAGCAATATAGAGAAAAGGGTTTTCAAAAATATTCTGAACTAATTTCATGCCTTCTTGTGACTGAACAAAATAATGAGCTATTAATGAAAAATCATGAAGCTCGCCCAACAGGTTATACTCCATTCCCTAAAGTGAATGTGACAATATCTAATAATCATGGGCATGGGCGAGGTCATGGCTATGGTTGTGGTCGTGGTCGTGGCCGTGGTCAAAGTCGTAATAATCACAACCGTGGTGGTTATAATTATAACTCTTCTAATTATAAAAGCTACCAGAAGTGGAATAATGATGAAGAGAAAAAGGAAAAAGGCAAAAGTGGACAAGATAAAAATTTGAAGAATACAGAAAATGTGTGCTATCGATGTGGCATGAAAGGACATTGGTCACGTACCTGTTGTATGCCTAAACATCTTGTTGAACTTTATCAAGCATTGTTGAAAGAAAAGAGACAAATACGAAAGCAAATTTTGCCTACCAAAATGATAATAGAAAAGCAAATTTTGCTTATCAAGATGATAATTTTGATCATGGACCTAATGATATAACACATCTGGATGTTGCAGATTTCTTCGAAAATCCTGAAAGGAGAATTGATCATTTAATTGAGGATGGGAATGTCCAAAATTATTAAAGTTATGTTTTTGTGAGTGTTTTACTTTTAATATGTTTAAGTTGAGTGTTTTGCTTTTAATGAGTGTTTTACTTTAAATATGTTTGAGTGTGATTTTCAATTTTAGATAAATTACTTTGTTTTGTTGGCTTTGTAATATGCCTTACCATGTATTTTGTTTTTTTAATAAAGAAAAATGGACATTCCCAAGTCTATAATTGGATCCAAGATTGATGATGAAGATCTTTGTCTCACAGACAATGCTATAACGCACACTATACTTAAAGAAAGAAAATATTTTTCTTCTTTGATAATGTGTGAAGCTAACATAAATACAATTTATGGTTGTACAAGATTAATTGAAGGCTCTGGAAGAGCTAATATATTATTGCCTGAAGGAACACAATTTATTATAAAAGATGCATTATTTTCTTCCAAGTCTAAAAGAAACTTATTAATTTTTAAAGATATTCGCTATAATGGATATCATATTGAGACAACCAATGAAGTAAATATTGAATATCTTTATATTACAAAAATAATTGTAGGCAAGAAATGTGTGTTGGAAAAATTACCTGTTTTTTCTTCTGGATTATACTACACAAACATCAGTGTATTTGAAACACGTGTTATAGTAAACTAGAAGTTTACTAATCCTAATACTTTTATTATTTGGCATGATCGATTAGACCATCCTGGTTCAATAATGATGCGAAGAATCATTGAGAATTCACATGGACATCCATTGAAAAACCAGAAGATTTTTCAATCTAATGAATTCTCTTGGCTGCTTGTTCTCAAGGTAAATTAATTATTAGACCATCACCAGCTAAAATTGGGATTCAATCACCTACATTTTTAGAATGAATTCAATGTGATATATGTAGGCCTATTCATCCACCATGTGGACCATTTAGATATTTTATGGTCTTAGTAGATGCATCTACAAGATGGTCTCATGTGTGTTTATTATCTACTCGCAACTTGGCGTTTGCGAGATTACTTGCCCAAATAATTCGATTGCGAACACAATTTCCAGATTATACAATTAAGACAATATGTCTTGATAATGCTGGTGAATTTATGTCTCAGGCTTTTAATGATAATTGTATGTCAATTGGAATAATGATTGAAAAGCCTGTTGCCTATGTTCATACAGAGAATGGTCTAGCAGAGTCATTTATTAAACGCCTCCAATTGATTGCTAGACCATTACTTATGAGAACAAAGCTCCCAAGTTTTGCCTGGGGACATGCTATTTTACATGCAACAGCACTTGTACGCATTAGGCCAACAAGTTATCACAAATTCTCCCCTTTACAATTGGCTTTTGGTCAAGAGCCAAATATTTCTCATTTAAGAATATTTGGATGTGCGGTATATGTTCCAATTGCTCCACCACAACGCACTAAAATGGGTCCCAAAGAAGATTGGAAATATATGCTGGATATGAATCTCCTTCTATAATTAAATATTTAGAACTATTAACAGAAGATTTATTTACGACACGATTTGCCGATTATCATTTTGATGAAACGAAATTCCCAGCATTAGGGGGAGAGAATAGGCAATTGGAAAAGGAAATTATCTGGAAAATGTTATCATTATCTTATCTTGATCCCCATTCTAAACAATGTGAACAAGAAGTTCAAAATATAATTCATTTACAAAATGTAGCAAATCAGTTGCTAGATGCATTCACTGATTTAAAAAGAGTGACTAAATCTGACATACCAACTGCAAATGCTCCAATTCGAATTGATGTCCCTGAAGGACAATTACCTGTAGCAAATGAATCTAAGGCACGTTTAAAGCGTGGTAGACCAATTGGTTCCAAAGATAAAAATCCTCGAAAGAAAAGAGTAGCAAATGACCAAGATGTATACATCAAAGAGGCAAGTTCTCATGAAGAGAATAGAGACATTTAATCATGAAACTCTAGAAGAAGTTTAGGTACCTGAAACTAGCAAGAATGAAGAGATCTCAATAAATTATGTCTCTACAAGAAAAATATGGAATCAAAAAGAAATAATTGTCGACAAAATTTTTGCATACAATATAACGCTTGATATTGTAAATAATAATGAGGATGTTGAACCTAAATCTATTGAAGAATATAGACAAAGAAAAGATTTGCCAAAATGGAAAGACACAATCAAGGCAAAATTGAATTCATTAGAAAAATATGGAGTTTTTGGACCTGCAATATGAACACCTAAAGATGTAATGCTAGTGGGGTACAAATGGATATTTGTGCGAAAACAAAATGAGAAAAATGAAGTCGTAAGATATAAAGCACAACTTGTAGCAAAAGGGTTTTCGCAAAGACCTGACATTGATTATGAAGAAACATACTCTCTAGTGATGGATGCAATAACATTTTGATTTCTTATTAGTCTGGCAACAAATAAAACCCTTGATATGAATCTAATGGATGTAGTTACAGCCTATTTATATGGATCACTTGATAACGACATATATATGAAAATCCTTGAAGGATTTAAAATGCTTGAACTGTGCAACTCAAATTCTCGAGAATTTTATTCCATTAAATTGCATAAATCATTATATGGATTAAAGCAATCAGGTCGTATGTGGTATAACCGTCTTAGTAAATATTTGTTGAAAGATGGTTATAAAAATGACCCTATTTGCCCATGTGTTTTCATAAAAAGATTTGGATCTGAATTTGTTATAATTGCTGTATATGTTGATGACTTGAATATTACTGGAACTCCTGAAGAGATTCAAAGGACAATGGATTATCTAAAAATGGAATTTGAGATGAAAGACCTTGGAAAAAAATTTTTTTGTCTCGATTTGCAAATTGAGCACTTAACGAGTGGAATTTTTGTGCACCAATCAAATTATACCGAGAAAATATTAAAACAATTTTATATGGATAAAGCACATCCACTGAGTACCCCAATGGTTGTAAGATCACTTGATGTGAACAAAGATCATTTTCGATTAGCAGAAGATAAAAAAGAGGTACTTGGTCCTGAAGTACCATACCTAAGTGCAATAGGTGCATTAATGTATCTTGCTAACAATACACAACTAGATATAACATTTTCAGTAAATTTGTTAGCAAGATATAGTTGTGCTCCGACATGAAGACATTGGAACAAAATTAAGCATATATTCTGATATCTTCAAGGAACAATAGATATGAGTTTATTTTATTCAAATGAATCTACACCTCAATTAATTAGTTGTGCAGATGCAAGATATTTATCTAACCCACATAAAGCTAGATCTCAAACAGGCTATTTGTTCACATATAGAGATACGGCTATTTCATGGCATTCTATAAAACAAACTATAGCTGCTACTTCTTCAAACCATGCTGAGATAATAGCTATCCATGAAGCAAGCCGAGAATGTGTTTGGCTCATATCAATAACCCAACATATTCAAGAATCATGTGGCATTGATTACAACAAAGAAGTTCTTATAACATTATATGAAGATAATACTACATGCATAGCTCAGTTAAAGGGAGGTTATATCAAAGGGGATAGGACGAAACATATATCACCAAAATTCTTCTTCACTCATGATTTTCAAAAGAATTGCAATATTGAACTTAAACATTCGCTCATGTGATAATCTGGCAGACACTAAAACTTTACTGACTACAATATTTGAAAAGTTGGTATACAATATTGGAATGCGTCAGTACAAAAATCTTAAGTGATATCATCATGAGGGGGAGTAAATATTCACTGTACTCTTTTTCCCTTGACCAAGGTTTTATCCCATAGGGTTTTCCTGGTAAGGTTTTTAATGAGACAGTTTCTAAATGCGTATAATACACAAGAATAATGTACTCTTTTTCCTTCACTAGGTTAATTGGGTTTTGTCCTAGTAAGGTTTTAACAAGGCATATTCTTTGTGTAATGGACATCCAAGGGGGAGTGTTATGAATAAATGTGGATGTCCCTTGCAATTCTATAACTTCCTAATCTTTCATCTTCTCTAACTCTTAAACCTTTCAAGTTCTACAACTTCAAAGCATTTTATTAGCTTTTAATTTCATTTATAATATTTCATAATCTTGAGACTATAAATAGATGTATTATGAAAGATGATGTACACTCAACTTTAGAATAAGAAAAACATTGATTCTATTTCCCTTCAATTATCTTTTCTCTTCTTATAGCTTATTTTATAGTGACTATGATATTAATAATTGCGTTAATCAAATTGGAGAAACTCAGAAGTAAGAGCTTTTTTAATAAATTCTTTTTACTTATTAAAGTTTTACTTTAGATCATCCTTTTATTAATTTTTTTATATGATATTTCTAACCAACAATTTTGATAAGCTCCTCTTTTACAACACGGTCCCGAGTAATTTCTATATTGTTTTATCAATAAAGATTGGTTCACAACTCAATCATACAAACTTTTTCTTACAACTTTGACGTAACAATTTGTAATTAGGTAGACGAGACTCATTGCCAGTTGACTAATTGCAATCTGTCACGTCGGGGTTATAAGAGGAAGTTAGAAAGATTGAACTGTAAGTATAACGACGACTAGAAATGGCAATAGATCTGACATTTTTCGGCCAGATCTACGGTGGATATAGCCGAAAAAGGTCATATCAGCACACAAACGGCCAGATTAGGCTGATCATGCGCCGTAACACCAAATTCCGACGGTGGTGGCCGAAATCTGGCAACTGTGGGTGGGGGGTGTTTTTGTTATTTTACAAAATTTTTATATATTAGGGTGTTTAGTAAATTAGCAAACCTAAAGCAGTGTTCTTGTTAATTTTTAAATTTTACCTCGTTATTTTCACCTAACTCTAAAAATGTTAAAAATCCTATCCAAAATAACAAAACAAACGAACCTCAAATGGTTGAGGAGCTTGATTTATATTTAGAAAAGTTAGATTAAGAAAGCAAATTAAGAATATCCAACTAAATAGGGGCTTCGCATTTAGAAATGCAAAACAAAAATATAATTAGTTAATTAATTAATATAAGGAGTAAACTTATATTAAAGGAAATTATCACTCTTATTTTTTATTTTCCATTTCTTTGTTTCTTACAATAAAAAAATGAGTAATGTTACACTTACGTTACTTTTTAATATAATTTTTATTACATCATGATATGATATATATCACAATCACATAAATTTTTAATTATTTTAAATTTTTAATATTATAATAAAATTTATGTGATTATAAAATATATCACATCATAATGTTTACAGAATGATATAAAAAAATAATGTAAATATAATATTGTCCATACAAAAATTGCCATGTTTCTGATATCTTAAAAGGCCGTCAGAAGAGTAGAAATATAAATACCGTACATAGTAATAAACTAATATCAGAAACTAATCTGGACCGTTAATTTAAACCGACTTAAAAAACGCGTGTATAAATGATTGTGAACAGATCCACCAAGCACAAACACAAAGTCACAAACACAGAAGGAATACGCGTAGTCCGTAGGCAAAGCAGCATCGGGTCGGTTTCGAGTTCGAATTCGAATTCGTTGTCTCTTCTCTTTCGCTCACTGGTAAGATCTTCAATTACCTGTGAATTTCGAAGGAGAGACAGAAGTAAGCACCAAATTGAAGTTCTAGGGTTTTGATTCTGCTCTGATTCATTACTCAATTTCAATTTTTGTCTTGATTCATCATAATCATCTTTCTTTGATTTCTATAATTGATTTCTGTTCTGGCTATACATCTTTTTGTTGTTATACTTGATTGGGTTTTTGTACTAGAAAAATTGGGGATATTGTATACTCTGTTTTAAGAATTTGGGACACCCTTTATTATTGAATCTGTGAGGGTTTGGAACTGTTTTTTTTTTTTTTTTTTTTTGGTACTATTATTTCTTGAGTTTGATTTTTGATTGAGAAGAGTTGTGGTGTTAATAATATGGCGGCAGGGCGTACCAATGTTTCGAAGAGAAGAGAGGATTATTATGATGGTTACTCCAAAAAAGAAGTTGTTCATTACAGAAACGGTACTGGTGATGCCAAAGTGATCCGAGATTGGGTTGATGACAAATATAAACATGGGTACCGATATTTGTCAAATGGGCACAATTCTGGTCCGAAACGGGTTGAAGCCAGGTTTGACGATGCACACGGTTGTAAGAATGGTGAAGTGTCAAAATGTGATGATGGGATTCTGTTGCCTTCTGCGAAGAAAAGGAAGTTTTCACCCATCATATGGGACTTGGATGAAAAGAAAGTGGAAATTTCTTCTAAGAAAAGAATTGCACCTACGCGTACTGCTTTACCATCTCTGAAATCTTCAGTGCGCTTGGTTAGTGAGGTGCCGAATGTTGTTTCTGATGGGGGTGTTGCGAAAAGCCCTGCATTGGAAAATAAAGTTAAAGGGCTGGACTTCTTTTCAGAGAAGTCTTTTTCTGATGGTGGTTCAGTGGTGGCTACTGTGTCTGAGTCGCCAGGGGAATTGTCTCCTTCATTGCCTCAAGATATTGTGGTTGATGACCAGGTTCAGTCAGAGGTGGAAGAGTTTGTTCAAATGCAGAATACATCAACATCACGCTGGGCTTCTGACAGTGATTTGGAGGATATATCTCTATCTGATGGTGAAGATGCACCTGTTAAGGGGGAACAGCTTTCAAAGAGGTCTACTCCTGAGAGTGGGGAGTTCTGTAGAGAAAACTCTGAAGATGGGGCCAGATTGTCCGAATCTGATATTGTAGATGGGGAACGTTCTTCCAAAGATGAATATTCTGAAAATGAGTTGGAGGTTGATGATGTCTTGGATGTTGATAATACAGCTGAAGAGGATATTGCTGTCGAGGAGCCTGCCATTTCTGGACAAAGAAGTAGTAACATGCTTCAGAGTTGTAGGCATGTGCTTGAATATGAGTATCTCAACAAAGTAAACGAGGGCACTTATGGCGTTGTGTATAGAGCCAGGGATAAGAAGACGGGAGAAATTGTGGCATTGAAGAAGGTGAAGATGAATGTTGGTAGGAAAGAAGATTATTTAGAATACGGTTTTCCTACTTCATCTTTGAGGGAAATTAACATTCTCTTGTCTTTTAAGCATCCTTCAGTTGTTAGGGTTAAGGAAGTTGTTATGGATGATTTTGATAGTGTTTTCATGGTTATGGAGTACATGGAACATGACCTCAAGGGGCTAATGGAGTCAATGAAGTTCCGTTTTAGTACTAGTGATGTCAAATGCTTGATGCTACAGCTTTTGGAGGGTGTTAAGTATCTGCATGACAATTGGGTTCTTCACAGGGATTTGAAAACATCAAATCTTCTTTTGAACAATTGTGGTGAGTTAAAAATTTGCGACTTTGGCATGTCACGCCAGTATGGAAGCCCACTTAAGCCATATACATCAATGGTGGTTACTTTATGGTACAGGTAAAGATGCATTTCATTTCTTCTGTAGATCATTAAAAGTATTATAATAATAATAAGACGCACTTCTTAACTAATAAATCAACTGTGTCTTTTCAGGGTTACTAAATGATCTATCTAGTATCGTGGTTTAAACTTTAAAGCACCTGATCGTTATCATAGGCCTTGTTTATATGTAGAATATACTTCTTTTTTCCTTGCCAAAAAGATTAGTAGCATAAACTAGTTATGGTAATCTCATTTAGTTCTGTGATACTGTATGTTACAGGGCTCCTGAACTTCTGCTAGGAGCAAAGAAGTATTCCACAGCAGTTGACATGTGGTCGGTGGGTTGTATAATGGCTGAAATGCTAGCCAAGAAACCACTATTCAGTGGGACAAGTGAAGCTGACCAGATTGACAAGGTAGTTATTTCTCATTGACATTATTCCTCTTTTTATTTTTTTAATTTATATATTTATTTCATTTTATGTGTTGGCCTTCTCAGTGATGAATGTTTGAAAATAATTGCAGATATTCAAAACCCTTGGCACGCCAACTGAGAAAGATTGGCCTGGATTGTCTGAACTACCGGGACGAGCCAAAGCAAAATTTGTTAACCAACCGTAAGCATCTTTTTATGCTATCTTTTTTTGGTCAAGTTTTTATGCATATAGACTATTCTAGGATATGGTCTCTTTTTGCAATTCTTGAAGTTAACTGTGCATAGGCACAGTTGTGTAATTTTTCAAATGATCATCTTTTTCATTTTGTCCCAGGTATAATCTGTTGCGAAGAAGGTTTCCTGCCACATCTTTCATAGGATCTCCGGTTCTTTCGGAATCAGGATTTGACTTGTTAAATAGACTTCTGACTTACGCTCCTGATCAGGTAATTTTCTGTTAATATGCAATTCCAAATATGATTTTGGTTATATCTTTATGTTATAAATTGCATGCTCAATACCCCTGTTAACAAATATTTTCTTGTTCATGCAGCGGATAACAGTTGATGATGCCCTCAATCACGATTGGTTTCGTGAGGATCCTCTTCCCAAGTTCAATCATACCTTCTCCCCACAGCATACTTGGAACAGGTAGCTGTCTAGCTAATGAGATAACTAGACGTAGCATACAACCTAAGAAAATTTCCGGCAGTTTTGGTTTCTTTTCTCTTGGTAGTTTGTGTCTCAAATTTTGTTAACTTGGTTCTAAGGCATTTAGAAGGAATGCAGAAGAAGAGAAGAGAGTCCGGACTAGGAAAATGTAGTGACAGTCAGCACGACTACTTGCATCATGTACCATTCATGAAGCGACTTTATTAAGGCATCGATGTGAACCCAATTCTATTGAAGCTTTGATTGATTAGGAGCCAAGAGGGAGTGGTGTTAGTTGAAGTCTACGTTTGGGATTAACTAATGAGTTATCCACTGACGTTTTACTAATCCTCATTGTAGATAGAAATGTAATTGTTACTTCCAGCATGGAGTAAACGAAAAAGGAAAAAAAGAAAAGTTTTTCTTATTCAGATGCTTACTTCAATCTTTTTTAATCACTGCCCCTGGCTTTAGTTTCAAATGCATCATCTTATGAGTGTTAATAAGGATTAGTTTTGTATCTGCAATTTCATTTCCCTTTTCCTTTCTAAACAAGCGAGAAACTGCTTCTGGGTTGCTGCCTAATTGAAAATTGTCTTTCCTGTGAATTTTTCTCAGAGAATCAATAAACATTACCAAGTTAATGTAAATGAAATATCTATCTATTCCCCGTTAACTATATCTATGTGCTACAGAAAGTCATTAAAATTACTTAATAATGAAATTTGAACATCCTATGTACTGTATTCGGACAAGTACATTTTCATTAAACACACATCTTCGTCATTATACTTTATATTGGTGCAGACGCTCTGTATTAGTCTTTATATTGGTACAGGCTTTGTATTAGTCATTTATAAGTACCAAATGATGTTATACATGGCTACTCATTATCTGAAGCAAATGAAGTGTCCTCTCAAGTAATAATATCAGTTAAGCAGACGCCATTTCCACCCATAACCGTAACCAAAAAACTCGGTGGATAGAAACGTGAGTTGCCAAAGAGATCTTGCTATGAATGTCATTTTGTAGTGAAAGTAATGGTCTTCCCAAGCACAAAAAGAACCACAGTGAGTTCAATGAAGAAAATTGTATTGATAAGAGCTCGATCAATAGTCCATCCGAAGATAGTGGCTCCACCTGAATTAGATTGCAAATATGTAACTGCAGGGCAAAAACGGCTCAAGTAAACATCATATATAATTACAAAAAATAGAGGACCAGACAGAATTACTATATAACTAGGGGAGCTGATACACAGATTGATAAAATTGGGGACCTTTTTCTGTTCTCCAGAAAGGACATTGCAGGAACCTTCGAGGAGATATATCTATAATTTTAGAATCCCGGCTTCAGTGTCAACCAAACATCACAAAGATGAAGTTTCTTTTCTGATTGACCTGTTTGGCTAGTCAAATGCATGCCAACTCCAACCAATACAATTATAGAATTAACAAGCTTTCCCTACTTAATCAAACTAGGTAAAACAGTGCAGACTGTCATTGAACCAGATTAACGTCCCTTGGGCAAGAATATATGACACTGTTAAATCTTCTTACAGGTTTAGTTTTTCCTACTTCACTTTAATGGTAAAACCTTGCTTTACAGCATCGTTAAATCTGGAGGTAGCCCATGGCCACAGTTTGGCTGCTGAATTGGTTGTTGCTACCATGGCAATGCCCAAGAGAGAAAAATCAAATCTTCCCGATGCTATTCTCAGTGTCTATGGTGCCTAACTCAAGTAATAGCCTTTTAAGTTTTACGGACTGAATAAGTTTTCTGACTGACAAAGAACCAAGATAGTTTGATCTAAAGACTTGCTGGCCTATAAGAAACTAATGCCTTAGATTGAGCAGAATGACAATTTAAGAATTTCTTATATCTTAGCATAAACTAGGCGAAAGTTTATACTGACTAGCTGGATAAGTGACATTTGATATATTAACTACTAATAGACGTATAAAAATAAGGAATTAATGTTTCATAGATACACATACCAAAGGCCTGTCTCTTGTGATACATGGTCATATAAGATGCCAACTGAGTATTTGTGGCCATTGGCACATAGTCACCCGACTCCAAATCACTTTCAGAGTAGCTAATAGGTATTGAGGATGAAGGATTTGCAGCCTCCAAGCTTCCAACATTACTATTGATTCCCAATTGAGAGGCACCGTTAGAGCTGCATGTGATTGAAGCATGCCATCTGCTAGCAACTGATCCAAGACCCTGCGCTCTATGTGAGATCTTAGCAGCTGCATGAAGGCAAATTACCATCCCAACAAGCTCAACAATACAGGCGACCTACCAAAACCAAAGTGAAGAAAGTGAATGTGAAAATCTTTGAGGTGATGATGGGCCTCACAGGATCGTCTTAACATAAGGTAAAAAAGCAGTTCAGCTGACGTATGAAACAAAAATTATGGCAACATACAAGTTTAATATATTATTGACTCGCATAAACTGAATAAAGAAGGAACATATTTTTTTGCACTTACTGCAAAATCACCGCCATTAATGAAATTGATGATCCCATAGTTCCCTGTGGTTTCCAGTAGCGACATAAATTGAGTTGCTGTCACAACCAAGAACTCAAGAAGCAGATATATTCGAAACCTGTGGCTTATCTTAGATAAATGATGCTTTAACCTTACATGTTCCTCGATATACACTGAAACGTCAAGATCTCTTTCTAAAAGTTTGCCATAATTTTCAAAGTGAATCACTTGCAAATTGCACACCAAATGGAACAGGAGACTGCCAGATAGATAGATAATGGTCGAGTAAGTCCATGATACAAGCAAGGCAACTACTATACCAACAGATTGCCACCACGATTGATGCGCATAGACAATATGTATAACCTCACGGGCAGCCTTCAAAAGAAAACAAGGTAAAATCCAAACGCCCAACAATTTGAAGAAACCCTGAACAAAGAGAACACTTGAATCAATGATCTGATCATATACCAAAACTTAAGTGCACAAGAAAGACCGACCGACCCCTAACCAAAAAGCTTGAACCTGTGATTTCAAGCAACAAAGATGTACTTATTAATATTATACTAGAAATTTACGCATTCCTTGGGGAAGAGTTGAAGCTTCACATCAACTGATCAAATCAAGTGCATAATTGAGTTTGAAACCAATACTATTTAGTTCATATTTCAAAATATTAGCTTTAGGTATCAATTGCATTTCTTCCCTACCAGAACTGTTTTTTGAGCTCTATTCTTGAGGAACAAAACGACCTACAAATTTGATACTGTNGGGTGTTTGTGCGATCACAAATCCCATTAGAACCAGACAATAACTATCTGTCAAATCAGATGATTCAACTTTAAAGTAGTTTGTGTCAAGGGGAAGATGGAAACTATTAGGCTATGTTATGTTCCACTGTTTTTACCAAAAATGATGGGCTTGTTAGGATAAGACATGATGTCATTAATTGAACATGATTGAATCGATGCTCAAGGGAGGTTAATGCAATCTTAAGCATTAAAACATTAACATCTTATAGATGCAAAAAATCTACCGTCATGAAAATAAGGTCTAATCCCTTGAGGTTGAGGTTATAGACAATCTACTAGACCTGTAGCTTCCAAAAAACACCGGGGTGGTGTTTGCCGTAGGCACTTCGACGCTTAAGTTAGCAAGGCTGAAAGAGATTATTTGATAAGAATTAAAGAGATGAAGAATTACCAGGAGTCTTGTCGGAAGCTAGGACTACGGCAGAGGCGTCGGGTTCTTGGGAGCAAGAACTTTAGAAGTAAATAGATGGTTTTGAGTAGTGTAGATTGACTATGGGAGATTGCATGCCTAATGAGAGGGCAAACCTATGTTTTTATAGTGAACCCAAGGGGCTGGAATCCTTGTAGGACATTGAGTCCTCTTTTTTTAGAGATAATCCCTATCAAGAAAGCAATATATCTCTTGGCCTTATCAGATTAAGTTTAATAGTTTAAGTAAGGTTTGAAATCTTAGTAGGACACTAAGTCTTATTTTGGGAGATAATCCCTATCATGAAAGAGATATTATTTCTTGATCTTATCAGATCAAGTTTAATAGTTTAAATAAGAGTTGGAATCTTAGTAGGACACTAAGTCTTATTTTGGGAGATAATCCCTATCATGAAAGAGATATTATTTCTTGATCTTATCAGAGTAACTTTAATAGTTTGAGTAAGATTTGGAATCTTAGTAGAAGAGAACATAGAGTGGGATTCGGATTTCCTATTCATGGAATATTGTAGGCTAATAGGCTGAAACCTAGTTTAGCTTAACTTATAGGATAGGCCAACTAGTAGAGTGGGTAGTTCACAAGGTGATTTTAAGCGTAGGCCTGATTGGGATTGTGATGAGGCCTAATAACGAACATGTCATGGCCCAAAGCCTCAACCCATCCGCCGAAGTCCTAGCTTCCGACAAGACTCCTGGTAATTATTCATCTCTTTAATTCTTATCAAATAATCTCTTTCAGCCTTGCTGACTTGAGCATCGGAGTGCCTACAGCAAACACCACCCCGGTGTTTTCCAGAAGCTTCACGCTTGCCCTTTCATGTGTGCAAGTCTAGCGANGCACTTTTGTAAACAGTAACCTTTGTGTATAAAAGACATGTGAATTGTAATGAAAAGAAACATTTTGGGCCCAATTTTCCATTGTTAATTGCATGCATTGTACTAGTTTTCAGTAGGTGTTACATTGATAGGTTGAGTAAGAAAGTAATGTAAATGAGAAGAGAAGTTTTTATTTATTTATTTTCATATAGTACATGTTTGTAACCAGGATTTACGATTTAAACTACATAACCTTCCAGGCGTGAATTCTCTAATTTTCCATCCTAATGGAATACTTAGAGGGTACTCGGCTGGAGGGGGTTGTTACAATTACTTATGAGAGCAAAGCTCCCAAGTTCTGCTTGGGGACATGTTATTTTACATGCAGCAGCACTTGTACGCATTAGGCCAACAAGTTATCACAAATTCTCCCCTTTACAATTGGCTTTTGGTCAAGAGCCAAATATTTCCCATTTAAGAATATTTGGATGTGCTGTATACATTCCAATTGCTCCACCACAACGCACTAAAATGGGTCCTCAAAGAAGATTGGGAATATATTTTTGATATGAATCTCCTTCTATAATTAAATGTTTAAAACCATTAACAGGAGATTTATTTACGGCACGATTTGCCGATTGTCATTTTGATGAAACAAAATTCCCAGCATTAGGGGGAGAGAATAGGTTGCTGGAAAAGGAAATTACCTAGAAAATATCATCAATATCTTATCTTGATCCTCGTTCTAAACAATGTGAACAAGAAGTTCAAAAGATAATTCATTTGCAAAATGTAGCAAATTAGTTGCCAGATGCATTCACTGATTCAAAAAGAGTGATTAAATCTCACATACCAACTGCAAATGCTCTAATTTGGATTGATGTCCCTAAAGGACAATTACCTATAGCAAATGAATCTAAGGCATGTTTAAAGTGTGGTAAACCAGTTGGTTCCAAAGATAAAAATCCTTCAAAGAAAAAAGTAGCAAATGACCAAGATGCTTACATCAAGGAGGCAAGTTCTCATGAAGATAATAGAAACATAATTAGTCATGAAACTCCAGAAGAAGTTCAGGTGCCTGAAACTAGCAAGAATGAAGAGATCTCAATAAATTATGTCTCTACAAGAAAAATATGGAATCGAAAAGAAAAAATTGTGGACAATATTTTTGCATACAATATAGTGCTTGATATTGTAAATAATAATGAGGATCTTGAACCTAAATATGTTGAAGAATGTACACAAAGAGAAGATTGGCCAAAATGGAAAGAGGCAATCAAGGCAGAACTAAATTCATTAGAAAAACGTGGAGTTTTTGGACCTGTAGTTCGAACACCTAAAGATCTAATGCCAGAGGAGTACAAATGGGTATTTGTGTGAAAACGAAATGAGAAAAATGCAGTCGTTAATATATAAAGCACAACTTGTAGCAAAGGGTTTTTTCAAAGATCTAGCATTGTTTATGAAGAAACATGTTCTCCTGTGATGGATGCAATAACATTTCGATTTCTTATAGTCTGCAACAAATAAAACCCTTGACATGCATCCAATGGATGTAGTTGCAGCCTATTTATATGGATAACTTGATAACGACATATATATGAAAATCTCTGAAGGATTTAAAATGCCCGAAGCATGTAACTCAAATTATCGAGAATTTTATTCAATTAAATTGCATAAATCATTATATGGATTAAAGCAATCAAGTCATATGTGGTATAACCATCTTAGTAAATATTTGTTGAAAGAAGTTTATAAAAATGATCCTATTTGCCCAAGTGCTTTCATAAAAAGATCTAGATCTAAATTTGTTATAATTGCTGTATATGTTGATGACTTGAATATTATCGGAACTCCTAAAGAGATTCAAAGGGCAACTGTTAGAGTAGGTGCCCTCGAGCCAATCAATTATTGTAAAATTGACTTTGTAATAAATGTTTATTTATCAATAAATGACATATTCTACTATATCACGTAAATCATATTATATGTATTGATATATGTCCTTAGGATGGTAGAACCATGACGAGGGTATCAAGTGTTTCAAATCTTAATAGTGAGAACCCTATGATCACATATGGTGGCCATTCTAGAAATGTTTGTAGCCCCAGTATTATTCTGACCAAGGACACAGATAATATTGTAAGGCTATCATAGTGTTGAACGACCCTATCGAAAGGTAGTAACTCATCTCACTTATCAAGATTGTTTGCCGACAACCTGGTGCAATGCATGGGTGCTTGCTAGAGGCAAGTTCACTGGACAGACCCATCAGAGGATTCCATATGGATGGTAACCCTAGTGTCTATAGAATAAATCCTTTAACAGATGGTGGTGCATGTGATCCTTAGACTTGAGATCACTGGAGAGCATTGCGCACCAATTGGTGTAGTTTGAAACTAGCCCCACGTAGTTCTATTCAAAGCTATCAATATGGTAGTGATTGGCTACATGAGAAGTGTATCGAGACTATGGTGGATTGACAAAGGATTCATCACTCCTGGGTACGGGAGAAGTTATCTCACTGGGTAATTCAGTAAACGACAATGACACTAAATCTGTGGCCACAATGGGATTGAGTTGATGTTCAATCCAATTTAATATTCCTGTCATTGGTCCAGTAACTGAATACAAACATGTCGAGGATATATGAGGTTCACACTATTTCTGTACATCGACTCGAAGAGATAACAGCTGATGAAAAGGATTTGATTTCACGGTAACCAAACTGTTGACAGACAGCGGTTTCGCTGAATCCGAATTTATCGGGTGGCCATGATGCCTTGCTAAGGGCCAATCTTAGTCTATGTATAGTGAGACGATTAATTGGTGTTAATCGTAATACTAACACTGTCGATATGATGAGGAGCCTATGGGTCACACACTTAGAAGATAATTTAAGAATCAATTTGTGAGAATGGTATTTTCGTCTTTTAGGACGAAAGGGTATTTTGGTAATCTCACAGTGCAATGAAATTTGCTGAGGTTGTTGCCTGTATTTAATTTTAATATTAAAATTAAATTAGTAAGATTATATTTAAATATATCTATGTATATATTTAAATGAATTATTATTATTAATTGAATGTTAATATATTATTATATATATTAATTGATTTTAATTATAATACTAATTAATT